GCTGTAGCCGCAGTGTTGGCAGGAGAGACTCTGTGAAGCTGCTTGGCTGCATGTGACTTTAGCAAAGGAGCAGCTTGATAAAGCAGCCCCAGCTCCACCAGCTTACCAGAATATTCCCTGCTCCCTCCGGCGGTTAATGTCTCTCTTCATTTGGCAAACAGAGCACACAGAGCACCACATTGTGACACAGTAGTCAGAGCAAATGGAACCCTGTCAGGAAGAAATTGGTTAGGCACAGAGGCTTTCCAAAAGCCACGTTCCAGCCAAGGAAATGGTAATCACATGCCAGGTCATTTGCCCTTTGTTTCTTGGCTTGCTGCAGCATCCTGAGGGGCAGACACTAAAGCCCAGGGTTGGTGAATCCCTGGCACTATGGGAGAAAAATCATAGAATTTTAGGAGTTGGAATGGAGCTTAGAGATCACCCAGCCCCAAGCCCTGCCCTGGGCAGGGACACCTCCCACCGGAGCAGGTTGCTCAAGGCTCAGCCAACCTGGCTGTGAACACTGCCAGGGTTGGGGCAGTCACAGCCTCCCTGGGCAACCTGGGCCAGTGTCTCACCACCCTGAAGGAGGTTGCCCAGGGAAGCAGTGGATGCCCCAATACTTGAAAATAGTGAGCAGATTAAAGAATAGATGAAGTTCGTTACACAGATAACAATCCATAACCAGATCTGGGAGAAAGGTGGATAGGACATATGTGAAAGGGTTTCTTCCTGCACAGGGTGGAGGGGGTTGTTGCCATCTCAAGCACAAACCATGAGGTTCCAAGTTCACTTTGCCCAAATGGTCTCTTTCTGTGTGCATTCTCTACTCTGCTCTCCTGAGACCTGGGGACCTGAGCCCTGTGACCACTTGGTCTGGTGAGATGTATTCCTGCCCAGGGCAGGGGGATGGGACTGGATGGTCTCTAAGGTCCATTCCAACCCTGACAATTCTATGATTCTATGAAATATTTCCCATCTTTCAAAGACTGGAGATGGCAGATGGAAGCAGCAGCCAAAGTTCTGCAAGTCAGCAGCAGCTGAAGGCAGGACATGTGCCTCTGGTGAAGGGAGCTGGGAAGGAGCTGTGCCCAGTTTTGTGTGTTGGGAAGGAGCTGTGCCCAGTTCTGTGTGTTGGGAAGGAGCTGGGAAGGAGCTGTGTCCTGTTCTATGCGTTGCTGGACACCAGCCCAGGGACCAGCTCAGCTGAGGACATCCCAGCTGCTCTAATGTGCTCTAACATCAAGCAGGATATGAAAGGGCAAAAAAAAAGGTGAGCAGAAAAGCAGTGCTGCCCTGTGTTCATCCCTTCTGTGCAGAGAGGGGCCTTGGGGGCTCCTTATTTTTCAGCCTTACAGCCTGGTGAGGGGACAGGTGAAGCACTGACCGGGATGTTGTATTTGGTGCGGTACAGGGTCCTCGTGGCCACGCTGGTCCCACACAGGCAGCACTCGTTCATGTCCCCAGCCACTTGGCAGGCCAGGCAGGGGTAGCAGAACATCCCACAGCAGCCTGGCAGAGGGAGAAACACAGCAGCAAGTGAGGCTCTGCCTGCCCACCCAGAACCACCAGCAGAGCAACTGGGACAACCAGGCTACAGAGCTGGAACTGGTGCACCACCCACCCAAGCAACAGGGGCAAGAGAAGTGCCCTGAGTGTGTGACCATCACTGCTGAGGGATAAGAGAGGGGACTTCCCCAGACACTCACAGACACCACAGTCCGTGCAGCAGTCCATCAGTCCTGTCTGCCAAAAGCCTCTGGAGGCAACAGGCATGACCTGCGGCTGGATCGTCACCACGGTTGCACTGGCCATTCCTAGAAGCTCTTCTGAAAGAGATGGGTGGGGAACAGGATAGTGAAAAAAAGTGTGGTGAGCCTGATTCTCCAACCAAGTTCTTGCGAAAGAGATGGGTGAGGAACAGGACAGTGAAGAGTGTGGTTGGTCTGAACCTCCAACCAAGCTCTTCTGAAAGAGACAGTGGGGAACAGGATAGTGAAAGCAGTGTGGTCAGCCTGAACTTCCAACCAAGTTCTTTTGAAAGAGATGAGTGAGGAACAGGATAGTGAAAAGAGTGTGGTGGGTCTAAACCTTCAGCAAAGTTCTGAAAGAGATGGGTGGGGAACAGGACAGTTAGTGAAAAGTGTGATAAGTCTGAACTTCCAACCAAGCTGGTGGCTGTCACACCCATCAGGTGACCTTTTGCTCAGCTCCCTTGCTGCCTCTGGAGGTGATGAAACATAACCATATCCTACCTACATTTGCATCTTGTCAAGGGTTTCGCATTTTCTGCCATTTTACCCAACCTTCAAAATAGCATCAGTCCCTTGGTGTTCCCCTCTCCACCCCAGAAAGGCTTTGCTAGTGCTCAGACACAGCTCACTGACTTCCCTGTGCCAAGCCGGGCTGGGCAGTGAACCTAGGCTAAGGGCAGTGCCTCAGATGTGCTGGTTGTTGAACTTGGCATATTCTACACAAGATGCCTTTGACATGAGTACAAAGCATGTAGGAAGCACTCATGGTCTCATTTCCCCCTAGCAAAGCCAGGCTCCATGCATGAGAGATACTGGAGGAAACTTATCTCTGGTTTCTTCTTGTAGAGAGCCAGAAAGGCAGAAACTCAGTGCTGTGCCCCAAGTCTGACCCCCTCTCCTCTGGTTAAGCAAGTAAACCTTGAAAACCAGTAAGCCTCAGGTCAAAAATAATAATAATAAATCTCTGTGCTTCTGTTTTCACAGCCAAGATAATAACTCCAAGCAAGTCTGGCCTTGAGCCCAGGCTCTTCTAGATGAGATAATCTGCCTGTTGGGCCTTTATTTCTACAAATGGGGTTGGGCCATTTCTTAGAAACAGCAGCTTGGCAAGGGCAGGATCACACTCTGGGGGATCAGGCTCCTCTCTGTGCAGCTTCTGAGCTCAGAAGTCAGAATAGAAACTGAAAAGAAGCAAGTAATGCTGGAGGGGAGAGGGAGGGAACCTTCTCCCTCCATCCTTCTGGAGCTTCTCCATTAATCCCACTCCTGGCAGCACATCCAGCCTTCAAGCCTGGAGGGAATCACAGAATCAACCTGGATGGAAGAGACCTCCAAGATCATTGAGTCCACCCCTACCGTGGTCACTAGACCATGGCACTAAGTGCCACATCCAGTCTCAGCTTGAAAACCTCCAGGGATGGTCAATCCACCACCTCCCTGGGCAGCACATTCCAATGTCTGAGCACTCTCTCTGTAAAAAAACCTCTTCCTAATCTCCAACCTAACCCTGCCCTGGCAGAGCTTGAGTCTGTGCCCTCTTGTCCTGCTGCTGGTTGCCTGGGAGAAGAGACCAACCCCCACCTGACTCCAACCTTCTGTCAGGGAGTTGCAGAGGGTGATAAGGTCTCCCCTGAGCCTCCTCTTCTCCAGGCTGAACACCCCCAGCTCCCTCAGCCTCTCCTCATGGCACTTGTGCTCGAGTCCCTTCACCAGCCTCGTTGCTCTTCTCTGGACCTGCTCCAGCCCCTCAATGTCCCTCCTGAGCTGAGGGAATGCAGCCGGAGGCATATCAGGTGTGTCCAGAGGGAACTGTGAGCGTGTGATGCCTCCAAGCACTTCCCTCTGCCAACCCACAGCACTGCTACTGCCACATGGCCAATCTCTCTAGACTTTCACAAACACACAGTATTCTCTACACAAGAATTATTCATATGCTTTCTCCTCTCCTGGCTGCAAACCTCAATGAAGAGATTGTAACACAAAGCTGCTCTTGTCATCAATAGCACATCCAGTGAAAGGACAGCAAAGACACAGGGAGATGAGGCAGAGACCTCTAAAAGTGACCAGTATCCAAGTTTCTGGTGGGACAGCCCAGGTTAAACAGAGAGCAGAGTCAGATTCCTTGAACAGTTAACTGCTAGCAGGAGAAAGCAGCAAAGAAAAGGTAACACCTTTTAGAAAGCCTCACCCCTTCCCCAAGCAGGATTTGCCAGATTGCTTTCAATTCTGTGCTAAGCAGGAAAAAAATCCCAATGAATTCTACTTTGGCACTATTCCCAGGGTAAAAAGTTACTAGTATTTCAAGGCTTTAAGAGAACCAACCTTGTGGTGAGCAGCTCTGTCAGTTCAAGCTTCCTTGCTGGCTGGGACCACGCAGAGAGAGGCTCTGGGGAAGATGAAACTAGACTTGCTCTCTCTTAGAGGTTCCTATTGGTGGCCAGCAGTAAACAAGTATAATGGTGGGAGGCAACTGGGAAGGGAGAGGTCCGGAGCTGTGCCCCGTTGTTACAGCTACAAATGACAAACACACATGGCAGAGCACATTTCTTCCTTAAATCACAGGCTACTCTTCACCTTTCAAAAAGTAGTTGCATGTTTGTTGTGTTGTTACCATAACTCTGCCTATATTGCTGTCCAGGGGAGAACAGCTCTGAACAATGTACAACCATTGGGACATACATCTTTCCACTAAGGAAAGTCATTCTCCTCATATCCCAGAGCAGACTAAACAAAGAGCATCTCAGAGTGCTTCACTCTGAGCTTGTCCCCTTCATTGAGCAGGAGTTGTGCAGACCTGCTTGCTTTACCAGCCAGGTTTTGGGCAGTGCCACCTGGGCAGTGTGGCGGCACAGGAGGCTGTGCCAGGGCCTTCTGGGGAGCCAAAACATCCCTACAGTGCTCAGAGCAGCCCCAGCCTGCTTATGCAGGGGGAAAATGGGGTGTTCTGTCAAAACCACCTGCACCAGGGGTGGATCCCTGCAGCTCAGTACCCTGTGCCATTCCCCTACAATGGGGGGGAAGGCTCAGCCCAAACTGTCCTACTACACTTCATATCCCAGATAAGGAGGCAGCAGGGTGCAATGGTGCCTGTGCTTTTAATCCTCTTTCTCATCTGCAGTTTGCTCCCTGCTCCTTCTTAGGGGTGAAGAACAGGCTGCCCAGGGAGGTAGTGGATGCCCTAACTCTGGCCAGGCTGGATGGAGCCTTGAGCAACCTGCTCTGGTGGGAGGTGTCCCTGCCAAGGGCAGGGGTTGGGGCTGGGTGATCTCTGAGGTCCATCCCAACCCCTAAAATTCTAAGAAGCATTTGGGTTTTCATTTCTGACTTACCAAACACACCCCATGTAGAGGCTTTCCACAAACCCCAGGCTGATACCCTTGTCACAAGTCAGGTAGCCCAACCACTGTGAAATTACCTGAATACATACCCTACATATCAATCCCCCTCTATGAGATACTAATGTTTACTGTTTCTTCACTGACATACCCCAAATATTTAAACACACATCCCCTGTGTGAGTCCCTGACACATGTGGATGCACTTGAACATTTTGTAGGGAATGTGGCAGCAGGACAGTGTTTTTTGTTTCCCAGCAGGATGCACAGATTGCCCAGAGAGGGTCTGAGCAGCTGCTTGCTCGGGAGCAAGGCAAGATCAAAGCATCCCACAGGAAGTGCTGATTGGGTGTTGCCCTTCTCTCTCACCCTCGAGAAGAATAGGAGAAGGAGAATTCAGAATTAAACTGCAATTTAACAGCTTTGTCAACAGGTTGGGATTTATGGTGCTTTAAAGGAAGCCTTTTATCAATAATGCTGTTGAGATTACAGTGAGCCTTGCCCTGAAATGCTCTCCTCAGCTTCCTACAGCTCCAAAGTTTAACTGTGGCTGTCCCTGCTTTATGGCAAGGCTGCCTGGCTGCCCCTTTGCTGAATCGTGCACAGGCTTTGGTTTCCCATAAACACTGCAAGAGGTTCCAGGAACTGATGCTTGCAAAACGTTAGCCCAACAGTGTAGGCTCAGCGCAGAAACCAACCAAATCTTGGGCTGCATCCACAGGAGT